AAGCATACACAAGGTTTGAGCCGCATGTAGACAGAACTTGTGCTTCAAAGTTACCAAAGCGGCGCGCAAACTCAGTGCGCAGTGCGCTCAGTTTATTATCAAACTGCGCCGACTTGGTTCAAAATTACTTGGCAACAGGGATAGTGAGGCAAGTTACACTGGTGCATTTGTGACAGCTTCACTTGAAATACCTTCACCGCATCATACATGCCATGTCCATGAACTGACGGATTTCCTTGCTGAGCTCAAAAACTATTGAGAACTTCCCCAACTCAGCCAACGGAACTCTGTATAAGGAATGTCAGCAAACTCTCAATCTATTTCCCACATAAAAGACTGAAATTGACGGTGATTTAACCCTCTGGGTTTGTTCAAAATTACTATCCTTTCAGCTTGTTTGTGGCCAAAAGTGGCCACCAAGAGATTAGGTCTGTAAATTGTATTATTTTATGGGTTTTTTGCCATTTTTTCTGCATAAAGCGTTTAACTAACTTCAGTTCTTTTCATAAATATAAAATAGTTATTAGTTTAAAAAATTTTAACCCTTTAAACACCAGTTTGTTTGTCCACTGCACTAGCTGGAAGACAACCTCAAATCTCACAATTTTATATAATTGCAGTGCTACTGGAATTTCTTGTATTATTAATTGTAGAGTCTGGGACAAGTAATTGATTCACATCAACATTGATTATAATGCATTGTTATTTTTGTGCAGGGAGAGCAAAAACATTAAAAAACTTCCTCTCAGCTTGTTTGTGGACAAAAATGGCCACCCCTTGTTTACGTTTCCAAAATGCTATAAAACTAATATAGAATTTTTTAAATTTCCACTTTCATTGACTTAATTTTTTAAATTGGCATCAGTGCGATTCATGAAAATCAAAATTTCATTCAAATTCAGAATTTTAACCCTTTAAATACCAGTTAAATCACATAATATGGGCAGAAATCTGTGCCATCAGAAATTGAATTTGAATAAGTTAAATTTGAATTTGAATTTCTCGGATTGAATCTGAATTGTAACTTGAATAAATGCTTTTAAAAACTGAATATGAATTAGCCTAATTTGAAATTCAATGTATTGGTTTAAAAATGATCATCACTAAATTGAAATTGAATTTTATATTTTGAAAAAGAATTTATTTGCTTTGAAACTGTATTTTATCCTTTAAAAGTTTAGCTCGCGAATAATTTCAGATTTACTTCTCACCATTCAGTTTCAGTTCTACAATTCAATATCAGTTCCAAAATTCAGTTTTTTGGGACTTACATCCAGTTCCGGTTCAAGAGTAATGAACGCAGATTAATAGAACTACGTTTTACTAGCGGACCGAAAGTGTTACTGACGGGAATCTACAGCATCTTGAGCTGAACTAAGACTTCAGAAGTCATTTGTCATGTTGAATGACCAGTGGATAAACTCTCAGGTTGGTAATAAATGTATTACATGTATAAGAACAAGCGTCATGTTAACAAATGATAGCCTTACAGTAACGTTTATGCTTATTATAGCTGTTAGCTGAAAACGCTAATTTAGTCTAGTTTTCCCTGAATTCAGCTTTGACAAACAAATATGATCGACTGTTTCTAGTAGAATTCCAAAGTTGGGAATCTCAACTCTTTAACTAACTTAATAACTAGCTAAAATGAATAGTTAGTCTAATTCATTAGTGCAGCATTACTGGATCACCTCTGTTTGAAGTGATATGATATGTGACTATCACTGTGTTTAACTACCATAATAATTCTTAGGGTACTGATTGCATGCTTAATGATTATTTTTTTATTTTTTTTACATACTGCTCCATTGCTATGTTTGACAGGCTGAAGTTGTCAGGTCACCTCCTAAATCAGCCATCTTTTACAGGTGTTTTGTGCCAGAAATGGATTGTCCACTGAAGATACTGAATCTCTACGCCTTGCCATTCATCCTTCTTGTGCCTTCATCTAGACAAGAGACATTAACTTAACCACTCTCACATGCTCTGTACCTACATCACCTTCCCTGAAAGTTGTAGCTTGGCTTATCTGAGGGTGAAATTATAAGAATGTGTTATTTTACAAAATGCTCTCTACGGTTCCTAAATAAAATATGGCATTGAGGTCATTTCTTTTGAATTAATCCCTTCTTCTGAAATATAAGAACCTCCCCTGGTTTTAATGGCACTTTGGATTTCCTTGCTTTCTGTTCCACTCCCAACCCCAAATAGATGCTGTCAAGCTGACACAGTACCGTGGAAGAGGGAAAGAAGTTGGAAAGGACTACTACAAATAAACCTAATGCCTAACAATGAAAAATGTAAAATAAGAACAATAATAATAATAAAGATAATATAATAAAGATGAAGTAACAAGTTTTTAGTTTTTTTGTTTATTCCAAATGATCATCTAGATGTCTGTGACATGTGATGGCAAACACCACACTGGAAGACCTTTGTCATCACATGCTTAAACTCATCATATATATTTGCATATGCTGAACAGGCAGTCAGACATGCTGTAACTGTGGGATAGAAAACTGCATGAACACCATACGGCAGGGGTCTCAAACTCCAGTCCTCGAGGGCCGCTGTCCTGCAACTTTTCCATGTGTCCCTGTTGCAACACACCTAGTACACTGCAAAAATGGCTAGTTTACATTTAGGAAACAAATGCTACATTTGATACAAAAAGCACTGAAAACAAGTGAAATTATCTTTCCATGCAGCAAGTTTATTTTACTTAATAAGAAATCTTGAAATAAGATTTTTTAATCCAGAAATAAAAGAACACATTTGAGAATTGAAGAGGGTTAAAATCAGCTAAAGTTAAGTTAAATATGCTAAATTACAGTCTTTTTTTATATTTTGAATTCTTACTTGCAGCAAATGCACTGAATGAATGCACTGCAATGAGAAAAAATAGTTCTAATACTATGAAAAACTACTCAATATTAGTGAAGTATGATTAATTTGTTTCTTGATTCAGGTTGGCTTATCTTAAAATATAGCCTAATCCATATTAAATCCAAGCAAAAAAAACCTTAAAACAGACCTTTTTTCTAGAATTCTCCTTGGCTTCAACTGAAATCACACCCAGGACAAGAGTGATATATGTCAACATTTATTCCTCTCATGAGAACAAAACCCTTTTTGTAAACAATGCTGCTGCACAATCCCTAAAAGTCTAAATCAACCCTTTAAAAGGCCTAAACAGAGAAAAAATACATTTTTGACCTTTTGTGACAGTCACATAGTCTCACAATGTTGTAAATAACGGCATTACTGACTTAAAACTTTACATGCCTCAGTTAAAGTGTCATTAAGAAAAAAACAACTTTCATTTGTAAGGCATTATAAGTAAAGCAGTTTCTCAGGACATTGCTAGGCAAATTAGGAACAAAGTTGTACAAACGTACTACAAAACTAAACAAACTGCAAAAGACCTGATAAAATTCTGCTTGGTATTCACCTATTTTTCAAAGAATGACTTCCATTCAGCTATTGCTTTCTTATATGCACTAGTGACATCTTGATCATGGATGGCATCAGTGATTACCTCAATTTGTATGACAGAGAGAACAGTTACAACACATTTCGGGTATTTTAAGTGCAAGGTGTAGTAATATGCCATCAACACCAACATTCCTTCCCAGAAATCCTCCAAGGGGAGAGTGGTCACTGGTATATTTCCTACAGCAACAATGCTGGTTGTCCCATCAAAAAGTAGCACTGGGAAGGAGAGAGGCCGCTTCTCCAGGTATAGCATAGCATCTTCACCCGGCTAGAAAAGCACAAAAAAAAGGACAAATTCTTTAAATGAAAGGGTTGCTATATCAAGAGTTTAGAATGCTCAAACTGATTTACTGTTGGAATAGAAGAAATAAATATAAAATATCTGACTTACATAAATATGAAATTTTGGAAATGTATTAATTCTGAGCATGAATTTTCTCTACTTTGCAGCATTTTTATCATGTCTATTTGTGCTTTTTTCTCATTTTTTTAAACTTTGTTACATATTCTAGTTTTTGAAGGCCTTTTTAAATATATCATTTTACTGCTTCTACTTGTATCCCAATTGCAATGTGCTTTTGCTCTGCGCTGCCTCTCTGGAGTAGGTTTTGAATAACAATTAAGAAATCCTGAATAAGGAGTAATTTAATCCCTGCTGAACTAAACTTTGACCCACTCTTATTAAGCATGAAAAGCAAAATAACAATATTAATAATAATAATAATAATAATAATACAAGTAAATGGAGTACAAGTTACAGTGGCTGGTATTGCTAATAGCTGTTCTCACCTTGAGGATATGAAGGAGAGCCTCACTGGCACTTCTCAGCAGCTTTGGTGGTGTAGTTTTTGAAGGAAAAAGAGATGGAAGTGCATTGAAGAGAGTGACAGTAAAATCCACTGTGGACAGAGAAAAGTATCTTAATAAAGTAATCTGAACTTATCTGATGTATGGATTTAATGTATGAAAAGGCCACTTACCTCCATGTACATCCAAGGGGAGAGGTGGTTTCAGGACCTTCCAAATGCCATAGAACTGCACCTTTGAACAAAACCCTGCCCATCGACCCTTCATTTAATCTATGTATTTGCAGTTGGAGCCACCAACAATGCGACATAGTTCATCCAATGCCTATGACAAAGTTGTGCTCAGTTAGTCAAGAACTAACTAAACCTATCCAGAGACAGCAAGGAATGTAACTGAAGGTAGTTGAACTTACATTTCGTGTGTCTTTGAAGCATGGGTATGCTTCAAATATTTTTCTGGGCCTGTCTTCTTCCCTTGTAACATCTGCGTCAATAAAAGCTCGTCTGGCCTCAAACTCCAGGTCCAAAATTTGAGCAACGTCACTTTGGTTGGGTTTTGCATTGGGTTTCCTGTACATGTTGCTCAAGGTTTTGTAATGCCTTGCCTGCATCTTCAGGCTGTCATGGTATGCTAGGGAAAGCAAAGAGCAATTGTAAGACATGGTGTAACTAGACTTCAAAAAAGTCAGATTTTTCTAATCAGTCATTTCTAGTAAGGTTGCATGGTTGTTTTTAAGTTATCGTTTTCAGTATAATATTTATGAGAATTAATGTTTAGGTTAAATATGTTTGAGTAATGAACTGATCCTATATGTCCAGATCATTTCCCTTCGTGTCCTTTTCTTATAATGATCATGGATTTATGTTAATTGTTAGTTTGAACAGAATCAAATATTAAAACGAAAGTTTAAGATGCCCGTGAATAAAACTGTGGTGAAAATAAGGTAAAGGTTGTTTACTGTGTA